ATTTTTTAGTGGCAGTGTATTTGGCTCAGACCTTCTGAGGCTGACCTTTAAGGTCAGATGGTAGACAAAATAGGTATGTTGATTTTGATTGACTGACCTGAATGTGAGAATGTTAGAGTTAGAAAATGTTTCTGAGGAATTAAGTTTTACACATGGAAGAATGCAGATGTGTTAATTTCGTTTGCGGAAACTGCTCCCCAGTGGGGTGGGATAGCAAACCCACTAGCTAGTTAAAAAATATACACATCAACCTGTTTAATAAAATAGATAAATTTAAAAATATCTTTTATTGAAGTTCTCATTTTACCTCCGAACAAATCAACTAGTAATCACCTGACCAGCAGAAGACAGCCAAGAGAGAAGAATGCAGCTTTGTTATGGAATCAACTCCATCAACCAAAACACCTCTCCAGAATGAAGTGGGTATACAACAAGAATATCCTATTACATTTTGTTAGAATCTGATTCAAAATAGATTTCTTTCTGATTCACTCTACATATTGGCCCGATGTGAGCACTAAGAAAGCAAAACAAAAATTTAAAAAGTTATCCTCTGTACAAGGGCTCTGAGTATCACCTCCTGAGTATCACAAAAATATATAAAACACAACATATAAGAAGCCAATCATGAATGTTGCCACCAAAGAAAAAACAGGAAAAAAGATGAGTTTGGCAACTACCACATTTGCTTTAAGAAAGCCATCCATAAATGAATGAGTCAGCTTCATAGCTTCACTAATGTACTCCAGACCTCTCATAATGTCACCACCATGAACTCTGTCAACTGACCTAACAAATGCATCAACTCCAGGATTTACTAACGCCACTCTCTTTTGCCTCACTACACTTGCCCACACAGAGACATTCTGCTCACATTCACTGTATCAGCAAATAAAAAATAATTTTATATTTACAATTTTTGTCTTCTTTTCTTTTTGCTTCACTAGCAGCTTATTATACACTTTAAAAAGTATAAATTCTGATAAATATACATAATCATTAAATATATACTGCTTATTCTACAAAAAACAATATTATGAATGGATGCTGAATGAAATAGAATTGCTTCTAGAAAAGTAATCTGATACGCTGTATTTGCAGGCAAAATAAGATTGTTGAATTTGATTCACAAGTATGAGGTCAGAATCCAACAAATGGTTTTATAAGAAAGCTTGGCAACATTATGCAACAGTTCTGAAGGAATCTTGGTAAATTGTAAGATTTTATATTTCTGTTGAAACAATGTCTTTTCTACTTCATTAGAGTTAGCAAAGTTAGTGTTGGCTGAAAAAATTGTATTACAATGACAGCCATGTCTTTGTTTTAGTAAGGTATAACAATTTTATTAATTTTTTTAAATTTTTCTTATGAAATCAATGAGTAAATAAAGCCTTAACATGATTTGTTCTCTAATAACAGCTGTTCAATCTATTTTCATCTTTTATAAAGCAATTTTTGTCTCTTTGCAACATAAACAAGAACTTAATTATTGTTTATTTACCTCTTTATTAAAGCCGATATGCAACAAGTCATTTTACACACAGAAAAATTTCCATAAAAATGATAAATATTTTTAATATGATTTCATTAATAAATAAACTCATCAAATTATTACAATTTTACAATTTTTCTCTCATTTATTCAATTTAACTGTACTTTGAAGTTTTATTTTTAAGTGCAATTTATCAAATAAAAATGGTTTTGCGAAATATTTCCATGAACAGGAACATAAAAATATATATGTGATATCTAAAGAATATTTCATATTTTACTTTTAGTGCAATATAAACACTAAAAGTACTGTAAGAATACAAAAGGTGATTATCTCCCTTTGATGGAGATGAAGTCATATGGGTCACATGATGGCCATTTAGTGAAATCACTTTATACAGTGATGAAAATAGTCAGTTAGTCAGTTACCAGGAGTCAAACTGAGCAGTCTTTTTTTGGTTGAGGCTAAATCTGACCCCTACCCACATGCCATATGTGTAGTTATCAAGCCTATCATGCTGTTTTCCTATGGAAATATATCTTCATCAGATATAGAAAATATCTCTAGTTTGCAGTCCTCAATTTGGGAAAAGCCCAGGACTCGCTGTTTCCTGTTTGTGGAATATGTCCTCACTAACAAAATAGCAGATGAATCTGGCCTGCTTGAATCTGGAATCTTAAATATGGCTTCTCCAGAAACACAAAAGAAACTCCAGTTACCCAATTTTCATTGGGAATTATTACACATAGGATTTTCTTTTCATTCTCCTTTCACTCTGTAGATATATGTTATATTTTTTCTGTGTGGCGACAAATGTAAATATGTATATATATAATTTTGTGTATGACTCAACGGTGTAAAACTCTCTCTGAAAACAAAGCATATTTGTCATTCCTTCTCTTTCAGCCCTTCTGTTTCATCCATGAAATATGGTGTTATTATATCATGGATATAATAATGCCCATAATATTTAAGATAACAATTCATTTCATTAGTAAATATGGGAGA